CTAGTTGAACATACTACATGCAAAATCAGCTGGATTAAATCAGAACACTTACTTATTAAAATAAAGATTTCTGCTAGCAAGCTTTAACAGGTGTCTGCTAACAAGTTGGATGTGAATTGAGACAGATCATGTTAACTCATTTGCCAGAGGATCCCGATGCCAAACTGATTTTTGCTTTTATATATTCTTCACATATACTTGTAGCTCTGTAGCCTATTATTGTATAACTGAATAGATTCATAGCTAATATTTTACCTGCTCTATTAGACAGAAAGACAAAACACATTCCTAGGTCCCAATCCTGTTTTTGCTTCTCCCAAGAACCAAGGTTGAGCACCACTTTCCCATAAAGAACTAATGAGGAAGGGGGGCTTTAAAAGAGGGTTGAACCAAAGGGGGAATTACCTCATCACTTGTGTCTCTAACTGGGAATTCTTGTCAATTATGCTAATTTGCTGAACTTTTAAAACTGTACGCACTTTATGTCATGGGTGTATTTTCAGCACATTTTGGTATCTTGTGCACTTGAGGGGATCCTTTAAAAAGTTAGGTGCATTTTATCACCTAACCATGATTTTAGGGCTCAGAAAAAGGCATCAACCCAAAGGGACAGCAACTGCTAAAAAAACAGAGACTTCAGTGGCCCAAAAGGGAGCATGTATCTTTATTTTTCGTGTACTATCTTCTCCATGCCAGACTTAAGACTCTGGGATTAAGTTTGATCAGTGTGGGAATCTGGTGCAAGAGAATTCCAGTTTGGAAAAAGTTAAACCCTGCCTTCATCTGCAGCCCTCTTGCTGGCAAGGATGCCAGCAAGAGCTCTGGGAGTGAGGAAGAAGACTGAGTTCTTATCCAAATTGCATGACCTCGCTGGTAACATAGAGAGTATTGCATTATTCATCAGAAGTAAAACCCCAGAGCCCATAAGCAGCACGACTATGGTTATCAGCAATATTCATACTCCACACCAGTGTTTCAGGTACATGCTCACAAAGGAATCATGGGGAACTACTGCATCCAAAGAAACTATAAATTCACTGTTAACCCTGCCCTGGTCTAGCCCTGCCAACTTCACTCACCTGTTGCTTGGAAAAAGCGGTTGTAAGAAGCATCAGGAATGTTACACACAGCTGATTTTGGATACTGGAAGCCTGTCTGAAATGTAGGAACAATCTACATCAGGGAATGACGTTCAGCAATGGAATCTCCTGACCTGCTCTCTCCAAAACCAGTGCTGGGTTAGCTGAGAGATTCCTATCAGACCTTGCAGAACAGGGAGAGATTAATGCTATACATTATCACTCTTTTACTGTTACTATGGTAAATATGCTGGATTTCTATTATTGCTATGAAATCTCATGCCATAACTGAGCTCATTTAATAGAGACATGGCTCTGCCCTACACATTTACTACCACTGCCAGCAAGCTTACAATGCTATTTCTGCAACTGTACTGAAAATATCCCTCTGAACTGAGCAGCAGCTAACAATGGTTAGCAAAGTGCCTATTGCTGACATACATCTTCAGCAAAACAATACAAGCCAGGAGGTAATTCCAGTAGAAGTAAAATGGTGCAGAAATTGGTAGCAGTAGCTTTGAATTCTTTTTCCAGACTCACCACACTGCAACACTGCATTCTTTGATATGAAAGTTGTATCAGCTCTGTTAAGTGGACTTTTTGGACTCTGAAATAGAATGCTTTCCTAAAGCTGAATTAAAATCAAGGAACAATAAATTTTCAGATTAAAAAAAAGTATTTTAAAATCTACTCTACAGAGAAGAGGGGACCAAGATTTCTTTGCCAACACAGTAAAGAAAAGATCTAAGCACACAGGTGAAGTGTCTTTCTTGCTCTCTATTTTTTTTTTAAAGAACACATATTTCAAAAGTAATGTTTTTCTCAGTGGACACATTTTGAAATTTACTGCAGTGCTGTACTTTATGCACCTGTAAAAAAACCCTATCTCACAGAGTGAGGTCTTAAAATGTTGCACAGGAATTATATCCATAGGACCACAGAAGAATGAGAAGTCAGCCCATGCCACATACTGGGCCTCTTCAGAGAACTGTCTGTCAGGAGCGATATAAAGAAAAGGCTGGGTTTCATCCATAAAATGGAGAGGACTAGCTGCAGCATAATAGGAAAAAATCAGATAGGGGAATAGATGGAGTCTCCTAAATATCAATCAGCAAATGCTTTTTCAACTTGCAGAGATACAGCAAAGCCTGGAATGTCAGGTTGGAAGGGACCTCAAAGACCGTCTGGTCCAACCTTTCCTGGGAAAAAGCACAGTTTAAACAAGATGGCCCAGTGCCCTGTCCAGCTGAATCTTAAAAGTGTCAAGCACTGGGGAATCCACTGCTTCCCTGGTGAAATTATTCCAGTGGACAACTGATTTTTAGGTGGTGTCTCTATTTACTTATAGTAAATATAAATATACCTAAAGTATCATGAAATCTCAATCTTCAGGAAGGGAAGAGAGGCTAGCTTACTCAGACTCTTCAGGGAACAGTACCATCATCATCCCTGAACTGGGCCACCCCATTGTTTTTCAAACACAAGATATGGCATTTTGTCTCAGGAACTCTGTTGAAAAATAGCAGCATTAAACTTTTGCACTGTCAGGTCTCATTGTAACCAATCCACAGAAAGAAACAAAACTGCACTGGATTTACTACAAATGTCCCCAGTGAAGTCATAGGAAAAATACACAGGGAACTTACAGCATCTTGAACAGACTCCAGAGACAGGTTAAAAAAGCCTACTACATGATCATCATTCTCAGAGTCACCTTGCAGACAAACAATCTAGCAACCACATGAAAGATCTCATTCAATTTCAGTTCAGCACTATTCATTAAAATATGATGATACTCAGTGTGTCCCACCACACAAAGCTCTTTTGATTCCAAAATTGCTCCACAAAGGAAAAACTCTAACTGCTGTCTTTTTTTATTCTGGCTTTATGTTCTGGATTTTTGCTTGGACAATATTCAACAAGGAACAAAATATGCATAGATGTCAAATGATGGGAGTAGGTTGGAGACAGGGAAACTGATATTTTACCCAAAAAAAAAACCACATTGTCAAAGAGCTCAGGGAAAATATAACACTATAATTGAGGCTATGAGGTCATTATCCAGTTTCTTACCTGAAAAAATGATAAGGCCAGTGATATATTATTTTGACCAAAAGGAAAAGCTGAACAACACAAATGAAAACAGCCTAACAAAATCCTGTAACTTGGTTTTCCAAAACTGTTACTGAAATAATGAAATAAATATCAGAAAAAACCTCAAACCCAATGAAATTAATAATAAGAACATTGGAACAGCAGGAATGATAGCAGACTATACTTTGATGCTGTTTGCAAGACCTGAGGAAGCTGTATGCAGTACTTTTTTAAAAGAAATACTGACTTAGAAAAAAATACACTGAGTAGTGAGATAATACTAGAATGTTAGCTGCTTCCAGAAACTGCTCCTTCTGTGCAGCACTCAGCACAGATGTTTTCAAGTCTTCTATAGACCTAAGCTGAAGGTAAAATATCACTGGAAAAAACACATCAGCTTCTTTCCTCACAGTGCTGGCCAATGGAAATGATGAAGGGAATTGATGTTCCAGTTACTTGGTATGTGCAAAATATGCAAAAAAGAAAAAGGATGACAACAATATTTTAAAAGAATAGGCATCAAGCTTTGTTTCTTTTCTAGTGGAAAGGAATGGAAACCCTCTCATTGATGTCAGTGAGAGCTGGGCCAGACCTTGGAAGTCTTGCCATAAAACTTTCACTATGGAGAAGTTGTACATTGCCATACACATTTCTAATTTATCCCCTGCCCTGCCTTTTCCCTCCTAATAAATTGTACACTTGTAGCACATAATGTCTGAAAATAAAGTTTATAATAAAAAGACAACTCACTGAGACTTGCAACAGTTCAGTCAAAACTGAACACTAAGAGAATTAACATGCATAAAAAATATTTTTATTATTATAAATAAATATAATATTATAAATAAAAATATTATTTTTTATTTAGGTTTTTTATTATGCAGTGAGTTTATTTAAGAGGTTTATAATAATTTAAACCTATCATAAAACATGACAAACAATGGCAAAATTTCATTGGTTCAGTGGACCAAGTTAATCTTGAACTTTGCAATAGTTGTATTACTTTATTAATATTGCTCTTACGGCCTGCAAAGCAAAGCTCTAGAGGAGAGACAAACAATGGTGAAAAGCAGGAACAAACAGAATGTCATCACAATCATACATCTCCCATTTTGCGCAGTTGTTGTCACATCACTCACACCCAAAAAGCTTTCACAGCCATCAGTTTGCAAAAAGCTTGATTCATTACAACACCTTTATTTCTAAATTAACTCCTGGTAATGAAAACATCCAAATATTTCTATCTAAATGAAAAGAGACTAAAACTCAGAATTCACCTGACTCCATGTGGATGAAATTAAAAGCACTCTTGACCTCTTAGATCTAGTGATGTTCCCCAGCCACAACCCAAAGTTATACCAGGATATGAGCAAAGAACAAGCCTTGTATCTTGATTTCAACACGGAGAAAGTCTAGAAGCCCAGGTCAAGAGATAACCAGGACTGCTGGGTGCAGTGAGGCACCACTCAAACAAAAGCTACACTTTGTATTTCAGCACCACTTGGTATCTTATCAGTTTCCAACCAGCCTCCTTCTACCTGTTAATACCTCAAACAAACAGTTTTCCTTTTGCATTAGTGCACCACAAATAACGGGCATGTGTCTTCTACAGAAATACAGAAGGTGCAATCTATACACTGCCAATCCATAAAGGAAAAAAAATCTCATTAAAGAGCCTGAAAGGAATTAAAGTTTAGCATAACCAAAACCAACTTCCAAATGTCTCAAGCGGTGTGGACTAGGCCATCCTCTAGTCCATCCTCAATTTGTAATTAAATTGGCTTTAAAGTTAAGAGACTTGCTTGCAGTGAGATTAGCCTTTCTTACCTTTTGCCACATTTTGATGAAGAAGAGCTCTCCAGAAAAATTGAAGAAAACATTGGTGTCATAGGCATCATCACCAGTGTTGGAGACGAAAATGTTAAGTGAGATGTTTCTCACTGCTCCCAGCGCCAGGTAGGCTGTTCTATCATGAACACTGTAGGCAGAAATAGTTACATTAGTATACTGGTAAACTTTCACCCTCTGATCCTGTTTTCTTCTGCTACAGAAGTGTCACAATTCAACTGTTTAAAAGCTCAGCAGTCAGAAGTTCAGGAATGTGCTGCACTGCATAGCACAGAAGGCCATACTAGGAATGAACAGCTCCTGATTCAGGGTTCTGACACTGTATTTTCCTATATGTAGGAAAACCCCATGATTCCCACATGAAATTATTTCACATGGCCTACTTTGTGTGATAATAAATTAGTTGAAAACTGTAAAGTAATTGTGCAGGGAAAATGCAACAACTGCAAGATATTATGCCTACATTCAAATACACAAGCTATTTCAGTTTGTCTCTCAATAATTCAGACTTATTCCAGCAACTCTCTGAAAAGTCTTCTTAGAGTTATACTATGGATAGAAGAAAATCTAAACCAGGCTCAAATAAAATCCAGAAACTGATGTAAATGAAAAAAATGTGTGGAAATTGCAACAAATTACCATTGAATGTGACTAATCTTTCTTTAGATGTTTATGCTGGACCTAACATGGTGGAGTCATCTTCTGTAACTGGAATATCAAGGGTAACAGCTATATATCATGAATCAACACACTGTTGCAATATGACATCACAGATTACATACAAACACAGACATGCACAGAGGTAAATATAGATATTCATGCACACACATTCATTATTTGGTATTTAATCCTTCTAGGCTGTTCAGAAAATGAGCTAACAAGTAGGAATAAAGGCTAAAGATAAATCACAAGAATATATAGTATCAATGCACAGATCTGCAGGTCTTAGAAGTAACAGCAAAAGATAATATGAAATATACCAGGTATTCATTTAAAAATCAGCAAAAAACCACAAATATTAAATTTGGTATTTATCATAACTGGACTCTAGAACCATTCATACATCCTGAAGAAACACAGGAAGTGCCACAGAGAAAACACAGAGTAGCTAGTCAGAAATGGACAAAGAACTCCAGGGAACAAGGCGGGGAGAAGCTCACAATCATTTCCTCTAGAGTACTGCTAGCCCAAAAGTAAGAAGGAACCACTTTTCATTCACCCAATTTCCATAAAGGAACAGCTGTTCCAGTGACATACACGTTGGCACACAGCACACTTCTGCCTATCAGCAGTTCTCTGAAGATGTCTGGTGTATAGGCCAAGAGCTGTGTTTAAAGGCAGCCTGACTCTCTGTTGTTACCAGTCATCCTCTGGCAGCCTTCTTCATGTTAGTGCAGCCAGGACATTTGCATAAAAGTGGAGTTTCTGGAAATGCATTGCTTATAAACTGTTCAGCATCTTCTGCCAATCAAAGCTGTATTAGACGTCCAAAGGCAGAACTTGCTGGACTCCATCTGCCTGTGTTTATCAAGAAGTTTCAAAATATGGGTTCCTGATGATACATACCAAATCAGGGCTCTAGCGAATGAGAAGTTTGAAAGAATATTATCTAGACTCAGGTTTTAAGCTGATTGCTGTGGATTGTGAGTGTAACTTCACTGTGTAATGTATGCAATATTTGTAGCATATTTGTTTATTTTATTTATTTCATTTATGATCATCTTCATTTATCAAGTCCAAAATTATGGCTTACAGTTCAATGACAGCTTATTATGAGGAAGATAGAAGCATCCAGGAAATGCATCTGCTTTCTCACACTTAAAATCAACTGCAGACACTGACCAATCCTATTGAGAAATGGACATTTTACTTTCAAAATATTTGTTTATTCTCATAACCAATTATCAGTGCAAATAAAGATTTGCAATAATATATGTAGTACAGGATTGACTGCAAAACTGAGTTGTTGCCCCTTATGTACCAAATTAATAGCTCATCAATATGGGAATACTTGAAAGCATTTAATCTTTTGGCACCAATTTCAACACTTACTGTTGACAAATAAACAAATTATGAAGATGCTAAACAATCTGCTGGGATTTTCTAACAATCAAAAGTGCATGCTTATAAACAAAAAAAAAAATCCCAACCATTTAATACTGTGAATTATTTCTCACGCACTTTATAATCTCACTTCTTGCAATCACTTCAAAACTTAATCATCATCTGTTATACTCATTAGCAGAACCTGGAAGTATTGCTTCAGTAAGCAAAGGAACATTGCAAGCTCTTTATTTTATGTAGAGTTGATATTAAATGCAATGTATGCTACAGAATGTTCTCTGAATTGGTAGTAGCAGAACTTTGAGATTTAACATAAAATGAAGACAATTGAGAATATTGTCCTTCCTAATGAATAACTAAAAATTCTCAAATAAAATCATACTTAAAACTGACCTCACAAAAAGTAATTCAAAAATTAATACCAGTGGGTTTTGTCACTCCTTTCTAAAGCTACCACTTTGCTGTTCAAAGTCTATCATATAAAAATTATCTTGAGACATTTATCTCAACAGAGAAAGAAAAGCCACTTTTAAAAGCACTCTGTTGATGCTCCTGTACACACTAATAAACGCAAAAAAATCTCACTGATTTTAGGCTGGCAGGTGAGTTCAGTTTGCCCTCTGAAAGCCTGTAAGCCCCATAAGACGATGCTGTAAGTCCTATTTTAAAAGAGCAGCTTTCTGAGTCATTGAATTTGTGTACATCTGGAATGCATCAGGTCCACTGGCAGTGAGCTCCCATTTACAGGGGAGCTTCCAAGCCCTGCTGGCTGCTTGAGAGAGTAATGTCACAAGGGCAGAAGCCTGCTGTGGTGCTGGAACAGTTCTGTTGCCAGCCTGGTGCCATCCTCCTCCAGCACCTGCTGCACATTTAGCACCCTAGCTGCCAAGTCAAAATATGTCAACTAAAGAATTTGTTGTCATCCTTCAGAAACACAAAAACAATCTAAAAACATCCCTTTATCTCAACAAGGTTTGTCAAACAATTTAGGAGATCCAATCAAGCAATAGCTTTTTGTTTATATTTTCATATATGAGAGCTACAAAACTATCAACATTCTCAACATAATCCTTGTAACCTTGCTCACATAAAGGAAGAAAGGCTAAAAGAAACAAACAAACACACAAAACCCAAACAAAAAACAAACCAAACAAAAAACCCAAAAAAAACCACAACAAAAATCAAAACAAAACCAACCAAACAAACAAAAAAGATTCAAAAAGGAAAAAAGAAAAGTAAAGAAAGAAAACAAGTTGGAAAATGTCAAGAAATAATCAGTTAATTGGACAGAATACCACCACTTTGTTACATTAGGTACTACACCCAAAAAATTAACATAGTAAAAGTTCTGGGCAGACTGTAGATGTATGTATTTATTATATATAAGCAAATATATTTGTACACACATACATACAGATGCCTGAAGGATGTCAAGTTATCAATGTTTGCATGGAAAGAAAAAAAAAGTTTTAAATTCAGAAGTACTAAGTACTTTCAGCTTTCATTCATATGACCCAAACTTGCAAATAACATGCAATTCTAAAATTCAAGCTCCAAATTTCTGCCATAGCTTTAAATTCACTGACAATGGTAGTACACATTAAATGTAAATAGATATTTAATTTACGTCTTAAGCAATTAAGAAAATTAAAGCAAATTCCAGGATAAAGCAAATACCTTTTTTGTATGCTTTAATGCTCTAATTGTCAACGTCCACACCACATCATTGCATTATGGTCAGTGAGGGAAGAAAGACCATCTGAGAAAGACAAGCTGAAAAGATGTGCAATCTTAATTTCTCCACCCCTCAAGATGCTGCTTTTTATTAACATGGGTCAGTGGACACGTAATCTGCATTCCAAATGGTGTGCAATGGACATTTTCTCTATTTCATATTTCATTTCTCTATTTCAACAGGGTGATTTTTTTAAAAAAGTGAGAAGGCATTCAGCACTCTCAGTCTGTGCAAATCATACATAGAGCAAAGAATGTGGCAGGGCCACACTTACCCTATTATCTGGGTCACTGACTTTCCCTTTTGTATTAGGAATCTTTCTTTCCTTATAGCAAATTAGCACCTACATAGATAATCACCATTACTGCTCAATAGACAGTGGAAGTTACAACTATAGTCAATTAGACTGCAAATGGGTAAAAATGTTTCAAACAACTGAAGTCCAATCTGTCTTCCAGCTCCATCAGATGAAATTAAAGAGCCCACCTTTTACTTTTAAATCAATAAAAGGTGTAAATCAACAATGTTGCTGTGACACATCCAAACAGATTTCTACTTTCTCCAACCAGCACTGCAGTTGGTCTTTGTAGTTACTAGGATAATTAAATATTGTCTCCACAGACTCTTTTTACATCAACCCTGAATACCTTTCTTCTGTTGCTGTTTTTTTGGGGATTTTTTACTGCAGGTTCAGGGTTAGTTGAACTTCAGGAAGAGTTTTTGCAAATACTTAAACCTCAAGGGCCATTGAAAAGTTGAAATCCTCAGTTGATCTGAAAATTCATTTGATATCTCAGTGCAAAACTGAGAGGTAGCAGCCCCATACACAAATATAAACCAAATAAAAATTTTAAACAACACCCTGGGGAGCAAAGCTATTGGATTTTACATTGGTTACATTGTCTTCTCATCACATGAGTGTTCAAAAGAATTGCACTGCAATTCTCTCTGGAAAGTTCATAGCCAATTTAGGCTAAGGACTGGGCCAAATGTTCAAGATACCATAGCTTATTCTGCAACTAGCTTATATCTGCAACATAGCTTGTATCTCCAACTTCTGCCTTCCCCTTCTCATGCTGAAGTCTATACCAACAAAGGCACAAAGACACCTCACACAGCTGATGACCAGAGCCTATCTGAGGTACATTAAGCCAGCTATGGCAAACTAACACTGAGGCCATCAGATCATTTCATTTATGATCTTTCTCTGTATTTCTCAATCTAGTTCTCAAGCAGGGATTTTGCAGTGTGCCCTGAGTAGTACATAACATGAGGTGATAGAAAAAATATAATTGCTAATTCCAAGGAGTAGTCAACCAAGGTTGTGTGTC